TCAGTAGTGTTTCTCCAAGAAGTTTTGAAAAATATGTATTTAAAACATCCCAGGGCCAAACAAGCATCGCATTACTGGGCATAAGGAGGGGCACAAGGGAAGACTTTGTGTCAACTTTAAAAAGACTAAGAACTAACCTCATGATCAAGATCACCACAGAATGTATAATTGATGAGTGTGGCCTACTTCCAAAAATTTATCATCCAGTAGGAAGAATCCCTATAAAATGAAAGAAGTTGGCTGCCTCTTCTTCAACCAAAATTGATGGAAAAAACAGCCACTTGATTTCTGGTTAATAGCAGAATCTTGCATTCCAGTCATCACTGAAACATTCCTTGATTTTCACAACATTAGACTTGTTTGGGGTTTTTGTCCCCACAACAAAAAATTTCTCCTCTGAAGGATCCAAGTTAGAAGAGGCAACTTCAGCAACAAAATAATAAACAAAACAAGTAACCACCAAAAAGCTTTTGTGTTTTCAAATGATTGGTGTTTTTAAATTAATTGGTAGAATGTTTCTACTGAACTTCATGAAGCAAACAAATTAAGCACCTGACAAGCTCGGTAAGATGCCTCCCTTTAAGAAAGGAGCATAAGAAATTTTCAATATTGAATACTATTCAATAAATACTGCTGCATCTCTGATACCTCATGTTACTACAGAAATCCAGACACACTCCTCACAAGGAATTTGAAGTGCAAATGGACCAAAGAAGAACTTATTCAGAAATGATTCTTGGATCTGCACTACCTTACTTTTGCAGGTGCTGAGTTGATGTCCTACAGCCACACACACACAAAAAAAAAAAAGGTATGATGAACTTTCTGGAAAAGATCACTCGATAAACTGTAAAACAGATGAAAAACACTTTGACAGGAGTATGAAATCACTGCCATTTTAGAGTACATCGTCACTGTACTGTTAACGTTTCTAGTTAGTCAAAACAATGTAGTGAACATCTTCATTACAATGCAGGCCACACTAAAGCCATCACAAATTTGTGTATCTATCCATATCTGAGAAAAAGTCTCAAAGAACACACTGAGCCTAACTGACACTTTTGGTAGTACATACATAGGTTTAAAAAAAAAAAAGGGGGGAATAACAGTTTAGGGAAAACCCTGAGATGTCCCAGAGGTCATCGCAGCAATTCAGCTGGATTGGAATGTGTGTTAGGATGAAGTTACATAGCAGAAAACTTGTATATTTGAAGACAGCAAAAACATGAAAATCAGAAATACTTTTAAACTAAGTTTGCAAATTCAAAGCTTCAGGACTGAAAGCAGTTAACAACTTACATTGCTTCAGTAAGAGAGAGCAGACTTCCAGTTTCACCCACTCAGAACCCAGCGCAGAAGACAACACTCCAACAACATGAAGTTTTTTACTTGCCCTCTGAAAAGGCTCATGCTTCCTACTAGTGTTTTTCAGGGTTTCACAAATAACACTAGCCATTATTCCATTCCAGTCATTTTCATATATTTCAGTCACCACAAAGCAGAGACTACAAATTAAGCACAGAGTAGATTTATCTTCCAAACCAATCTTGATTTGACAAGTAGATTTCCCACTGCTTGTAGTATTGTAAGAGATTCTTAACCTTGTTATGTGAGCAGAGTCAGCTGTACGTTACATTGCAGGATTAGATAATTTTACGAAAGGAAACAGAAGAAAGTATTAGGCTGGCACTAGTGACAAAACCAGCAATTTCTCTGCTCCTGCCTCCCTGTACACAGATCTTTGTGCAACCCTTCACCTCATGCTGTCACAAGCACAATCACAAGGTGAGCCAGATCGGGGAATTAGTCTGGATTACAACCACCCATTTTTTGCCAAGTTAATTTTAACCCGGAGCCAGTCTCTAATCTGTTACCGCAAGAGGCTATATAAATAATTATGTCAACGTGGCAGGGGGAACAAGCACAGCGACCGAACCTTCTCCTCTGGAGACCGAGGTGTTCAGGACACCGCAGCCAGTATCACAGGAGGAAATGCACAGCACTGCTAGCTCTGTTTCAAAGCCAATTACCGCATCCTACTCAGCACGTGACATTCATCACTTTCAGATGACAAACCAGCCCAAGCACCTCGCAAATACGAAGTTAATCTTACTTGCGCCCTCCAGATAATCCCCACAATGTTTTAATTTCTTCGTCTACACGCAAGTATTTTCATACTGCTTTCTAGTATGAACATTTAAGTCAAGTTTGGAATAAAACCCGCTGGGGCAGGGGTTGGTCACACCACGTGAACTGCAGCATACAATTTTGCAGAGTTCAAGCAAAAATTCTACACTGACATACTGCAAGCAGGTTGCACTATCATTCTTCAAATTAGTCCTCTTGGAGCACGGGAAGAATTTTATTAATGTTCATAAGTCAATTTGTTTAGGTTTTTTTAAGCTACTTCAAGATATTTTTCTCATCCCGAACACTCCTACTGACAGATTAAAAGACTTCAGATTTTCCACATAAATAAAAATCAAGTTAAGACACTTGTTTTAAGCTATATTACCTTTAGCTCCAATTAATTTATCTGGCAGATAGACACAGTCACAAATTACTTTAAAATATCTCTTTAGAAAATGTTTGGGATTGTTTTGGCATTTTTGATCATTTTTGTTTAAGACTACCAGCTGGCTGAGTAGTCTTAAACTGGAATATTTTGACACTAGCATGGATAAAGGATGGAGATTATGAGCAGTACCTTGGCTGCCATCAGTCTGATACACAAGAAGTTGCAGGTGAGTACAAAGAGAGAGCGGGCAACTAGCTGATTATTAAATACTCCTCCTCTCAAAAATCCTACTACACACATTGACTGTATTAACTAGCTGTCATTCACTTGCCAATGGCCCAATATAACCTGTTTCCTCTGTACTGGCTTTTTTGATTTGCTTTAAGATGACAACATCCAGCCAAGATATTTGACTAAATCTGGCCTTCAAGAATAAAGACATACACCAACTTTGAATTGTCACTGTTTATTTTAACTGGCATTCTCATAAGAATCTGCTAATAAGAAATAGAACCCAAAAGAATGCAATCTATGGTATCTTGGAATTAAAAGTAATCATTTTAAAAACGTCAGAAGAAACATTGACATTTACACCCATCTAAAGCTAGTGTCTTCTACAACAGTAAACACAAGAGATACCAGTTGAATTATCCTAAAACCAAAACAACATGGGAGGACACAAGAAGTTCAAAACTACAGTTTTAAAATATACAGATACGCTAAGGCAAAATTCAGACAAGTATCTGAACACCATTGAGCAACTGCACTGCTGATTTCCCTACATTTAGTAGTTTCTGTACACTTAGCACTTGAAATCCAAGGATTAAATGATACAAAGCTCAAAAGCAGGAAGAGAAAATTTAAAGGAAAAAGCATGAGCATTGAATTAAGGAATAGATGGGGTAAGAAAACTCCCACAGGTCTATGTGTGGGGAAAAAAAAGGCACTACAGTTTCCTTGCCATATGAAAAGAGCTCTGTAATTGCAAAGATGTCAAATGCCAACTCTAACAGTCCACATTTCCCGTAAGCAAATTGGGAAAGTTCTGTTATTCTCTTAGTTTCTTACGTTAATGCCACTCCCAGACGCAGCCTTTCTGCGGAGGGAAATTAAGCCCTACTGCTCCAGTCAAGGCTGGAAAAAAAAAAAGAAAAGCCACCCAAACCGAAGCAGCCAACCACCTCGTCGCTTTACAACCGTTTACTAACTTAAAACGAGGATGACTCAAAGCTGTCCTCACGACCCGGCCACCCACCCCACAGCTTCAGGCCAAAGGAACCCGGGAGAGGTGCCGCTTGTCCCTCATTCCGCACCCCCGGCCGCCTCCGCAGGGGAACAATGGGGACCTCCCGGGGACCACGGGAGGGGGGAACCCGCCCCTCACCCCCCCCTCCTCACACCGGGGGCTCTGGGCAGCCCACCCCGCCCCGGGAGGGACCGCCGGGACGGGGCTGGG